ACCAGTTCAGCAATTTGATCTTACACAATAGGTCCCATTCAGTGGTTCAGTATTTGGGTATTATACAAAACATAAGGACAAATAAGAACATTCCAATGGTTGGGGTTCAGGAAGAAGTCACAACATGTCTGAAATGGAGAGAGACCTTTTGTTAGATTTGTCCTTACATAAACAAAATCTTCTGCAAAATTCGCTTTTGGCTACAATCCACCTCCTTATACAAAAGTTTCTATTCCCTTGAATAGGGTGATAGGCCCCTCACAAAAACATGTTGATGTCTACAAAATGAAGGCAGTAGAAATACAAGCAGTAGGGTTTTTCCTACACATATATCCCATCACTGTAGACTCGAGGATGCATGTTCCTAGTGACACTAAAATTCATCATAGGACAACATCTAGGAAAAAAAGTGCTTTAAAAGGAGGAATAAGAATGTAGTTTAAAAAATAGCAAACTATTCTATCAGGCCTGAAAGTCATAGACTGACAACATAGTCCTTCAACTCAATTTGATTCCAGATAATGGTAATAAATACTTCCTTGGAATAGCCAATTAATATACAAGAACTCTACATCAGTGGTGTCAAACCCAAATAGAAACAGGGGCAACTGAGCCATGCAGAAGGATCATTGCAGGGCAAATATTGGCTTAGAAAACCACACATGTTTATATTCCTTTTTTTTAATTAATTTTTATTTTGCTAAATATTTACCAATCACACCTTATTCTGGTTCTGTCTTTCTTAAATGCAGCTGAGTATTTGACATCTCCTTTCTACATTATTCAAGGAGTGTTCTCACCTGGCACAACAAAGGTGAGAAATTTTACCATTCAAAGAGAAACAGCATAATGGGGAAACTAAGTTGAGAAGATCCTGCCATTTCCTTTTTAAGTCTGTCTTCTCAACCTTCCCAAGAACTTATCTCTACTTAGAACTGAACCTTTACTGAAGGTGTTATGCATCACTCCTTGGAGATGCCTAGCAGCACCTTCACCTACTTTGTGGATTCAGCAGCATAAGCACTTTTACCGGTATTCAAACTGAGGTCAAATCAAATTTACAGTCCCAAGAGGTCCTCTCCTCATATAGCATGCTCTTGAATAAAAACAAAAACTGGAAATAGAGTCCATTTGTGGTCCACATTATCATTGATACAAGAAAATTTTCAGTTGTAGCTTAATCCCTGACAGTCATTGAAAACATCCATTTTTTTTCTTTTTGAAAAGAATGTTTATTTTATTTTTAATTTATGAAATTAAATAGTGTTTTATTCCACATTTCCATAACATAGTACAGTTCAAAAGATGATTGTACATGAAACTGCAAATCTCATCTATTTTTCTTGTACCCATTAAGCTTATTGGGTTTTTTTTCACTAAGTGTTTTCAGCTCTTTGCCTCTCTCCCTTGTTAAACATTTTCTTATGTTAATAAAAATAGAGGTATTTTATGACCACAAACATAAACAATCACATTTTGGGACTTAACCCCAAAATGAGCACATGACAGTTTACAGAGAAGTCATGGAGAGTTGCTCAAAACCAGAAAGACTCTCGTTAGCAAAGTGACTCTGAGGTTACAGGAATTGTATGCCAACTTCTCAATGGCAAAAGTCTTTTAAAATGAGGTCAGTGGAACCAAGGTTGAAAGTTCTGATGTGAAGTAACAGTGCTAGTGGTCTGGGGTGTTAAGTATGTTCTTTTCCCAGCAAGCTTGAGAGTAGTCTAGGCTTGGGAATTAAAAATTTTAATTCCATTATTGTTCAGTTGTTTCAGTCATGTCCAACTCTTCATGACCCCATTTGGGGTTTTCTTGGCAGAGATACTGGAGTGGTTTGTCATTTCCTTCTCAGCTTATTTTACAGATGAGGAACTGAGGCAAACAGGAAAAACTTATTATATGCAAAGCTACAAAGATGGTCTATTTTTCATTATTTTATCCTATTTCTTAGCACCATATAACTAGCAGATAAGAAAAGCAAGAGGCTTTGAAATAACTTATATATACACATGTTTATTAGATAAATAAAATTTTAAAGTTCAGAAGCCAATTTTCCAATTTCTATAATTTATGGGTTTTTTGTTATGAAAAAAAAATCTATGGAAGGTTTCTTGGACCACACAAACATTCTTTTAGAAGCTAATACTTTATCTCCTACCAGAGAGCTGATGAGGTTATATAACCAAAGGCAGTACAGGAACTAGACCTATGATTTCATTGGTATAGGGAAATCCCAGGTGAGCAAATTTCCTCTACCGAACAAGTTGGCATCCTTTCTGCCACTTATATTCTTATAAAGTTGCCCAAAGTACCGAGAGATTATGACTTGCCTAGAATAACACAACCAGCATTTATCAAAGGTAAGACTTGAACCCAGTCCTTCCTGGCTGTAAAGCCAGATTGCTATCCACTGAGTCATGCTTGGAGGCTGGCCTATTCTCAGATTTCTTGCAGACCTGAGACTTGCCAAGGTCTTTTGTACTTTTCCCAAAACCAAGCTAATTCTTCACACATGAGGATTAGGATGACATCTGTGAGATTCCACATAAAAAACATTTATTTGATGTCTCCCCAAACCTCTAGTAGTGGTCTGGGTGGGTGGGAGTTTCTTTAGCAGGAGGCTGTTCTAGACTTTAAGACAAAACTTCCAATTATAAATCACAGTCTAATACAGTTAAAACAATAAAATACCCTTTCAATTCTTGGTCCACCAGGGCTATACACTGAAAATCTAAATGTTTTTCTTTTACAAAAAACATCAATATAATCAAGGCAGCTTTTAACCAAACTCCTATGCTTCACAAACTCTGTCCTGGTCATGGTGGGAGAAGGGGTGGGAGGAGTAGGAGAACAAAAAGAGTATACTTTTTGATCTGGATGCATTAACATAGAAATTTCATAAAATCTCTACTTTAATAATTCCAGGGGGCCATAGCCAGGAAACCTCACTAGATTTTAGCATATGAAAACAGTCAAAATTCATTCCCATCACAGTTTGGAAATCCACGTTAAAAAGATCATGCCTCACTCCTTTTAAGTCACACATACAGTCCTTTTTAAAAATTTCCAATGCAACAAATCTTGGGAATGAGAAGTTATTTTTTAGTTTGTTTGCTTCTTTCTGTCCAATCCATAATTAGTCAAATCTAAGAGGAGAGGAAATAAGCCCTGAAAAATTCAGAGAAGTATTATTTAAAAAAAACCAAAATGATATTTTCTTAAAGTGATTTTGCATTTTGTTTTTTAGGAGGCAATTGGAGTTAAGTGATCTGCTCAGGATCACCCAGCTAATAAGTGTCTGAGGGCAGATTTGAACTCAGATCCTCCTGACTCCAGGGTTAGCATTCTATCCAATGTGCTGCTTAAAGTGATTCTTTAAATGCACTAGAGGCTATTCTTCTCTTTTTTTTTTTAACTAAACAAGCCCAAGTCTCCTCAGATGCAAAAAGACTCAGAAGGAAAATGAAAGTCATTTTCTGAATTCACTTTCCCAACTTAAATTACTCTAGCAGTCTAGGTTCCCAGAAGTCAAAGACTGCTTCATCTCCCATGCTTCTAGGGGTATTGAAGGTTGGGTATTGTGGTTCAAAGGCTCCATCCAATGTATACTTTAAAAATTGAATACCAGTTGACATTAATTAGTTTTTCCAGGAAGGATATTTACTGAAAAGGTATAGCAGAAATAGTATTTCTAAAATAACCTCCCAAGTCAGGGGCAAAGTTTTCTCCCCGTACACATTTGGTCCCTAAGGAAGGTGGGCTCAAACTCAAAACGCTAATGCAGTGAGACACACATATAAAGAATACCCAGCACTGAGGACTGATTTGGGACTTCTGGTTCTAAGGGTCTTTTTCTTCACTCAAGTCCCCACTAAGTTGTGCAGAGGGGCATTTTGTGAGCAATGGACAAGTTGTTTCCTTGCTCAACTGGAATGGCTCCTTATAGGATGTGGTGTCTCAGCTGCTAGGTCAGTTTACTGCTGGATGGTCAATCCAGTCCAGATCACTCTGCTGCCCTGTTGGATCTTCAACAGTCTCAGCAGCCACTGCTATAGGCTTAGGTGACAGGTGAGACTTCTCTGATGGCTCTGATGGAATTTCCAGACTCATTGGTCAGCTGGGCATACTGCCCTCAGAATGCCATTTAACAGCATTTAGCATAGTACATGGTACATGGTTGTTATTGTTCAGTCTTTTCAGTCACGGCTGACTCTTTGTGACGCTATTTCGGAGGCTTCTTGGCAAAGATATTGGAATGGTTTGTCATTTCCTTTTCCAGCTCATTTTACAGATGAGGAACTGGTATGTGGTAGGCGCTTAATAAATACCTGTTGACTTGATTTGGCCTAAGATCAGTTAAGAATAGAGACAAAAGAAAAAGAGGCCCACCATGGCTATGTAGGAGATAGAGAAACCAATGCCCCTCCCCTACCTGGAAACTCAGAGCAGTTCTTGTGCGGCTTACTTTTGGAAAGGAAAATGCACAAAGTACCCAGGGAGGGATGTTATCAATCATTTTGTATGCAAACTCAGTTCCAGCTCTGTGCCTCCTAAGTCATCATTCTCTCCAGCTCCTGAGCTAACTAAAAAACTCCTTGTCACCACACACTTCCAGCATCCCTAGTTATTCATGGTTGGAAGTAGTTTCGCCAAACCCCTACATGCTGCACTGGAAGCAGGCAGGGAACATTGCTCATCCTCTGTATAACTCATCAGGAAGGGCAAATCCGAGCATACTCCAAGGACTGGGACCTCATTGGCAATGCCCCCCAAACTCCTGTTACCTGTATAACAAAGACCAGATGAGACTGTGAGATAACTTTGCAAACTTCTCTCCTTTAGAAGAGATGTGGCCACTACTATTTCTGTTGAAGAAGAGTTAAACCCTGTGGCCAAAGCCTGGGAGGTACTGGTTTTTCTCTCTGCCAAGTCTGCCTACGATGCTTTTCTTCCTTTTCCCTCCTCCTCCCAAGCTCATCTTCTGCAGCAGGACTCCCTCCTGTTTCCCTAGGCATTAATTGCTGATTCACTTCTCGTCTCAAAACGCTTTTATATTTGCATGTTTTGAGCTTTTGCTTGAAGCAGACTCTCAGTTAGGTAAGTGGTAACGATCCCCAACTGCCTTATATTTTGCTCTACATCTTTTTTTCCAGACCTGACACTAGTACCCCAGCTATCTGTAAAGTGATTAGAGACCTGGATTTGAACAATGAGAAGGAAGGAAGGGAAGGGGGAAGGAAGGGAAAGAGAGAGGAAAGAAAGAAGGAAGGAAGGAAAGAAGGAAGGAAGGGAGGGAGGGAGGGGAAAAGGAAAGGAGGGAGGGAAGAAGGAAGAAAGGAAGGAAGAAGGGAGGGAAAGAGAGAGGAAAGAAAGAAGGAAGGAAGGAAAGAACAAAGGAAAGGAGAGAGGAAGGGAGGGAGGGAGAGAAGAAAGAAAGAAGGAAGGGAGGGAGGAAGGAAGGGAGGAAGGAAACTATTTATTACTATGGGGAACCCCTGTGGGGGGAAATTCTCTTTATCAATACAAGTCAACACCTTCTCTGAAATTTAGAATCTAAGAGAATTGCCTAGAGCCCTGAGAAGTTAAGTGACCTGCCCAGCCAGGTCATACAACCAGGATGTATCAGAGGTGGAATTCGAATCCAGGTCCTTCTGATTTCAAGACTAGCTCTCTGTTCACTATGCCACCAAATGTAAAATGGCCAATTAGTAGCCATCAAAATTAACCACAAGGAACTGTTTGCCTGAATATTAACCTCTCAACTTGATAGTAAGGTTATTTGTTCCTGTAAAAGACAGCAGAGGACACACACAGACTAGCTGAGTTCTCAGCCATCACAGTGATATTCAAATGATCTTTTGCCACCCATAGATGTGGGATTTCTTCTCAACTATTTTTGCCCAGACCAGTGACATGGCTTCTACCTGGAGTCATTCTGTCCCTAATAGTTTTGCCAAATGGACACTACAGAAGATCTAAGTTCAAGGGTCATGGGGAACACAGGCATAGTAGCAAAACAAGTTTAATTAAGGTAATAGAAAAGATAAGTGAGGGGAAGCTTAGCTCCCAGAAGCAGGGGATGACAGTGACAACATTCCTGCAGGATGGTTGGGTTGTGTGGGGAACTCCCAGCATAATGGAATGGATCTGGGTAGGAGCCTCACTGAATTAGGTAACAGCAATATTTCTTAAATAGAATTGAAGGCTTTAAAATTTTTTTTTCCAAGGACCAGCTTGGGAATTGCACAACAAGCCTCAACTAATGAGATAAGACAAATAGGGAATTCTGATGGCTGGGTTCAGGCTGAGGTCATTGACTGCCTCAAAAGCAAGAGAAACCTTTTGTTCACCTGTCTTTATATAAATAAACTCTCCTGCAAATTCCCTATGGGCTACAGAGTGTCTTTAAGGTGGCACTTTGCTCTACTGAATGAAATGCTTTTTTATAATCAACAAATATAATTGACACAGAAAAAATGAGCACAGTGGGATCTTGAATTCTTAGCACTTTTCAATCAATTGTGCAAAAAAAAAAATACTGCCTGCTGATATCATTTGTGGAAGCCTGCCCTTTTCTTTCTCATATTTTCATAATGAATGTCCTTGATATGTGTTCAGAGTATTCTCATAATGATTTTCTAGAGATGAGAAAGCAGGTATATTGGTCTGTGGTTATTGATGTCCTCTCAATTATTTTTTCCAGCAATAACATCACTCATGATTTTTTCCAATTATTCAGTATAAGCTTCACTTTCGAATCTCTTAAAAACCAACCCCTCAATGCCCTTAAAAGTGTTTTGCTTTATGTATAGACGATCTCTGTGTGTACTTTGTCTGGCCTAGCTATTCTTCCCAAATTTGTTTTCTTTTTGTGAATTTCTATGTCTTCCTGTAGGACATTAGATATTGTGATGTTAAAGTCTAAATATGATGGGGGTAAATTTCCAGAAGAAAGGGAGAGCATTTCAATAATAACTAGATTCTGTGAAATGAGAGTGGAACAATGCCAAGAAAGAAGGAAGGGAGGGAGTAAGAGAGAGGGAGGAAGGAAGGAAAGCAGGAGACTAGTACTTTATAAATAAATCTAATTTGATCCACCTAACAACCATGGGAGGTAGATGCTATTATAACCTCTATTTCGTAGTGAAGAAATTGAAGCAGACAAAGTTTAGGTGACTTGCCCAGGGTCTCACAGCTATTGAAAATCTGAAGCTGGATTTGAACTCAGGTCTTCCTGACTCTTGGCATAGCCTTCTATCCATTATACCACTTAGCTATCTCTAATAATTTCCTGGGTTAATTAGAAACTTACTAAAAGCATTTTAAAGAGATAAGGAAGGAAATTAGAACCCTGAAAGGAGAATTTGGAAAGACAAACATGAGAAAAGAATGACAGAGGCAGAACAGAAGAAAGCTTAAGTGTAACAAATATTGGAGAAATGATTTCCTAATTATTCATGTCTCCATGCATAGATATAACGAATGTTTAATTGGATTAATAAAAGCATAGCAAAACAGAAAAATTAATGAGCATTACCCATTCACATAACCTAAGGCTCTAATCTCCCAACCTAAGCTATATCATTCTGCCTAGATCCTCCCACATAGACGAGAGTTTAGTAGCAATATTGGGAAATCCACTTGCTCCTTCAACCACAAGAGACACCCTAAAGCCATCACCTCTTTGTAATGGATGGTGTGTTTCATCGTGAGTCATCTGGAATCATGAAGGGCCATGGTGTTGATCATAGATCTTATACCTTTCAATGTTGTTTGTTTTCACGGTGTTGGTATTGTATAAAATGTTCTCCTGGTTCTCATTCTTCGTCAGTTTGTAACAGTCCTCAAAACTTTGTACACTCTTCATGTGGATTACATTTTAACATTCACTTTGTGTTGATGGTATTGTATAAATTGTTCTTGTTCTCCTGTCTTCACTCTGCAACAGTTCATATATCCTTTTGTGTCTTTTAAAAATCATCTAATTTTTCATTTCTTACAGTTCAATAGTACTAATATACCACCACTTATTCAGCCGTCTCTCAATTGATAAGCTTCCCCTTAAGTCTCCAGGTTTTTGTTTTTTAACCACCACAAAAGAACTCCGTTGGCCATTTTAATAGGTCTCTCAGGCAAGAAGTGGTTGGGGTAACTTCTTCCCCTCTTTCATGGGTCCCTTTCAGCCTACTAGTTTTGTGACAAAGTATCCCTTAGAGCAGTGGGGTTTTTTTGTTTTGGGGGGTTTTTTTAGGCAATTGGGGTTAAGTTACTTGCCCAGGGTCACATAGCTAGTAAGCGTCAAGTGTTTTGTCTGAGGCTGGATTTGAACTCAGGAACTCCTGACTTCAGGGCTGGTGCTCTATCCACTGCGCCAGCTAGCTGCCCCAGAGCAGTGTTTCTTAAACTGTGGGTCGTGACCCCCTGGAGGGTCATAACTGAATGTGGGGGTTGTGGAAAATCTGGCAACAGTATAAGGTTTCAGAATGTGCAATGACCAAAAATTAATTCAAAATCAAATGCATAATGAATCTAAGGTGTTTCTGGCAGCTCTTGCCCATGTTGCATTGTGTGACTTCACTATTGCCTTGGTTCTGAATACAAAATATGAACACTTTGCATTGTGCGAGCTGTCACACCATGCAATGCCAAGGAAGGCTGCCAGAAACGCCGTGGCTGAGATTCGAGACTATTGTATGTTATGAATTGCAGTGTTTTTACTGTACATACAAAGTTTTCTGCTCTTACAGAAACATAATAGTTTAGTTATGGAAAATAAAGACTTTTAATATTTCCTACTGTCATTCCTCATGCCTGTAGATATCAAATTAGTATATCTTTGGATTGTATTCTGTTAGAATGGTTACTTTTAAAAATTGCTGTTATCTCCTTTTATAAACATATGTAAACATATATAAAATTGCTGTTATCTCCTTTTATAAACATATATAAATATATATAAACCTAAGTGTTTAATTGCAGCAAGTAAAGACAAAAGCCCTTCAATAACATTTCTCCATCACTGCTATATGCATCTGTAAATGTGAACATTGATTTTTTAAATTAAGCACAAATAAATGTAATTTCATAAACTAAAGCTAGCATTTACTTGAAAAATTATTAACAATATATATTTATATTTTAGGACAAAATATTTTTCAGTTATGGACAAGTGGCTAAATTTAGACAGAAGAGATAAAAATGCTGATGACAGTGCTGCAGAGTCTTCACTGCCAGGTTGTAGTACACCTACATTGACAAGAAAAAGAAAATATGTCAAATCATTTTTCAATATGTATTTACTTCTGTTTTTGTTTTGCTTTCAGGCAATTGGGGTTAAATGACTTGCCCAGGGTCTGACAGCTAATAAGTGTCAAGTGTTTGGTCTGAGGTCGGATTGAACTGAGGTACTTCTGACTTCAGAGCTGGTGCTTTATCCACTGCACCAACTAGCTGTCCCCTGGATTTACTTCTAATAATGATGATGGTGTGGAAAAACCTCTTTGCTTAATTTGTAATGAAGTTTTGGCTGCAGAGACCATGAAACCAGCCAAACTAAAATGACATCTTAATATCAAGTATGCAGTGTATGCAATAAACCAAAGGATTATTTTGAACAACTTTTAAAATCTTCAAATAAGGAAAAACAATTTTTTGAGAAATTTGTTACTCTCAATGAAAAGTATTGACTTGCATCTTATGAAACTTCTTACTTAATTGTAAAAACTAAAAAGCCCTATGCAATAGATGATGATCTCATGTTACCTGCTGCTATTAAAATGTCCGAAATAGTGGTACATGGGAAAAAGTATGGGGAAGAAATTTGTAAAATTCTTTTATCAAATGATACTGTTTCCAAAAGAATTTCTGAAATTAGTAACGACCAATTCCAGCAGCTTATTACCAGGCTTAAGGGCATCCCAAAGTTTGCAATTCAGTTAGATTAAACAATTGATATTTCTAACATGGCACAGTTGTTACTTTATGTAAGATATGTTTGTGAAGGAAGCATACATGAGAAATGATTGTTTTGTTGCCCTTTGGAAGGACACACAAGAAGGGAAGTTATATATCTTAAAGTTGATGAATTTTTTTTTACAAATGAAAGTTTACAGTGGAAAAATTTCATTGGAGTCTGTACAGATGGTGCTGGAACAGTGATGGGTGAGAATGTTGGATTTGTAGCCAAAGTTAAAGCTGGTGGCCATGATCATATCACTTTACTCACCTCATGATCCATCAGGAGGCACTCATAGCTAAAGAAAAAAAAATCACCAGAGTTAGATGTTGTGCTTCACCATACTATCAAAATCATTAACTTCATTAAAAGCTGTGCTCTTAACAGTCATTTGTTTTCAAATCTTTGGAAAGACATTGATTCTGATTACAAAAGCTTATTACTACATGCAGAGGTAAAATGGTTCTCAAGAGGGCAAAGTTTAAACAGATTATTGAAACTGAAAGATGAATGTTATATTTTTGACTGAGCAGAAATCCAATTTTGTTAATTTTTTTTCATAATCACTTATGGCTTTCAAAATTGTATTATTTGTCAGATATTTAAAAAAACTCAATGATTTAAACATGTTGCTTCAAGGAAAAAATTGTAACATATTTATGTTGAAAGATAAAACTGAAAATTTTGCTAAGAAAAGTTAACATATGGAAGAATAGGGTGGAAAATAGTTCTTTAGGAATGTTTACAGCTACAGATGATTTTATAATTGAAAATAACTTTCCCAAGGATTTAATTGTAAGAATTATAATTGATCATCTGAAGCGCCTGGAGACAATTTCAGAAATACTTCCCTTCAAATTTTGATTCTAAAAAACTAGGTTGGGTTCATGAACCACACACAATTGAAATTAAAAATAAATCAGTCATCTGCCACTAAAAGTTCAAAAAGAATTTGCCAAGTTATGAGGTGATACAGGTTTAAAACTTGAGTTTCCTAAAAAAAATCATTAAGTGAATTTTGGCTTGAGATTGGGACAGAATTTCCAACAATTTCAGAAATGGTCCTAAACATACTTCTGCCATTTTGTACTACGTATTCATGTGAAGTGGCATTCTCAGCACTGATGATTATAAAATTAAAATATCGATCAACTCCGAAAAATGTTGAAGATGCTCTATGTCCTGCAGTATCAAATATTCTGCCAAAATTTAATTATTTATGTAAAAATAAACAAGCATATCTACCTCATTAGTATGCAAATTTGCTTTTGTCTTTAATAAATGGTAAAATTACATGTATACCAAAGAATTGTTTTAAAATAAATTTCTTTGTGATTTATTATCAATAAATGTTTTATTTATAAACCTATTTTATGTACCTACATACCTGGGGTCGCATAACAATTTCTCAGGCAAAAAGCGGTTGCAAGTGGAAAAAGTTTAAGAAGCCCTACCTTAGAGTTTATTTCAAACTGATTTTTTTATATAAAAATCTTAGTGAAAGGGAGGAAACAGTGAAATTTTCAACCTTGTGGGACAACCCTGGGTCTCACTAATAAGAATGGCCTTCAAAACCACAAAGTTCATATAGAGAAGTTTCTGTCTTCTGCCCCTAGCCTCCACATCAGAAAAAAATCTAAGGACAACACAGACATCTGTGCAGGGGTTTAGTTGTGTAAATAGTACTTCCCTGGGCAATCAAGAAAGTGCCATAGTCTCTTATAGCCTTGAAAATACATTTCTCACAGTTTGTTCCATTAATATTGCTTTCCTGGCTGAGTTTCAAGCCAAACATTATATGTGAATGGTAATAAGAGGATGAGGACTGTGGCATTATCCTTTCTTTAGTAGACCAGAACAACAACAATCACCAAAAAACACTAGTAAATACATGGATACAAAGGTAAACAGGCTAGCTATTTCTTAGCCACTCATGATAGGCCCTCTCTGAAGATGTCCCCATTCTGGGGACAGGAGAAGCTAAAGGTATATCTTGCCAGGGCTGACTTCAGGCAAAGTTGTGTCTAGAGGAAGTTCTTGTTACTTGGGACAAGCACACTCAAGCTGGAATCTGTAAAGAAAGAGACCCAATTAACCAATTCATTATCATTTGCTGGTGCCTTATGCTATTTCTTTTGGAAGTATTTGCACTTTAAAGGAGGATGCCTGGGAAGGTAATGAATCATTAATGGTATCATTCCAGGTACTGGGGAATCTGAGCAGAAGAGTTATTGCAAAGCAGGAAAGACCTTTCTAGAGGCCCTTCAAGGGTGGGGAAGCTGTGGTCTCAAGGCCACATGTGGCCTTTTGGGTCCTCGGGCACCTCCTTTTGACTGAGTACAAGTTTTACTGAACAAATCCTTTTATTAAGAGGATTTGTTCTGTGATGTTTGGATACAGTCAAAGGGCTGCACTTGAGGACCTAGAGGGCCATATGTGGTCTCAAGGCTGCAGGTTCCCTACCCCTGCCCTAGACCTATCTACTCCCTTGTATTCATAAGATTGGGTCATGCTGCTTGCTTTTGCTAAAGCCTTGCATAGAGCTTTATCTTGAGGTAACTGGGGCTTTGTTTCTGGGAGCAGAATTTAGAGGTTGATAACAGCACTAAGGCAGGCAGTGTGGCTTAATGGATAGAGAGTTGGTCTTAAAGTCAGCAACATCTGGATTCAAGTCCAATCTTTTAATGCATATTAGCTGTGTTACTGTAGGCAAATCGATCAACCTCTCAATGCCCTAGGCAACTCCCTAAGACTAAGTTATGGAGGTGCCAATCTGTGTTTGTAGAGGGAGTTTTCTCTCCTGGGAATTCCCCATAACAGTGAGATCACAGGTCCAATGACTATCCCTAATCCAAAGAGCACTTCTCATCCTACTGTAGCATAGAAACAAAGAAGTTTAGCATTCAGTTAATAAGAATAATTAGAAGGTAGCAGATGTCAGGTGACCTCTTTTTTCTCCCTTCCTTGTTCCTCCCTGATTTTGTGTGAAGGCAGCTAGGTGGTAAAGTGGATAGAGTGTTGAGCTTGGAGTCAGGAAGACTCATCTTCATGAGTTCTAATTTAGCCTCAGACACTTACTACCTGTGTAATTGGGCAAGTCACGTAACCCTGCTTGCCTCGATTTTCTCACCTGTAAAATGAGCTGGAGAAAGAAATGGCAAACCACTCCTGTATCTTTGCCAAGAAAACCCAAACGGGTTAGATGTTAGACTGAACAACAACTCTGTGTGATGGTCACCCAAGAACTGCCTTACTTTGATGTTCCAGGGTCTCTACTTCCTTTGCCTTGTTAAAGAATCTCTCTCCGTAGATTGAAGATGTGCTTTGAAATGCTTCTCCCAGGCCCAGAAATTCCTAGTTATGTTTCTAGCCCTGGTCTCTAATATACCAAATCAGCAATGTTCATTATTTCAATGTTAGGCAGACAGTCATCTTATCTGTCATGTTACAAAGTAAAGGAAAAGCAGAGAGAGCTTCAGGGGGCATTCAGCTTGGTGCTGAGCAGTGCTCACTTGTGTGAAGAGAATATTAGATGAAGCATAAATTATTTCACCCCCAGGCAACAGTCTTGCTAGAGCAGAGGAGTCTTGACTGCATGCCTAAGGTTACTAGACCTGGTGGAAACAGTGAGATTTCTGTGACTCTGAAAAGGGAATGTGGCCTAAGTCTATATACAGACAGACAGATAGATGTGTGTGGTGGGGGGGGAGCACATCTGTGTGTGCCTGTCTGCACTTCCAAAAACCTTTATTTGGGAACATGGACCTCTGAGTCCATGCTAAATGGAAATAGATAAAATGAGAAAGGAGACAGGGAAACTCAGACAGTATCTTTACATCCTGTGAAAAACATTTTTTTTCCCTCCAACAATAATAGATCTGGTATTTTCAACCTGCACAGCAAATGAATATGATTCTATGAGTAGGGTCTCTCTTACTCGTATCTCCTCCCCCAGAGGCACTCATTCTTTCTCTCTCTGTCTCATTTCCCTTTGACCTATCTTCACACTGGCAGGTCACGGTTTCCCCAGAGAAAGGCAGCTGCTGCAATTCACCGCTCTTGGGGTCTTAGGGTTAACCTTTGTGGGTGACTATTCCTATTAAAACTGTAGGTCATGAGCCTCTGATGCTGTATTTCCCATTAATAAATCAGCCACTAACACTCAATTAACCTTAACCAAAACATTTAATGAAATACAAAGCAAACACACAATATTTATATACATTCCACCCATTAAGCTCTTCCACCAATGAACACAGTGTTAGTAGGAAAGCATATTCTTAAAGTGAAAGGAATGCATGTGGCCGGGACAACTCATAACTCCAGAACTATAATCTTTGATATACTTCTCCTTTGATTTACTTCAGGTACTGGCCATAAAAGTTTCTTGAGGAGCTAGCTTCTGGGTAAATAAATGCGTCTACTACTGTTAAATTGAGCTCATCCATATTGTGCTGGACAAATATCTCCCTGAATGTGGCATCTCTGTAATTCAGAAGGAAGACATTAACTGACGTTGGATAAATCCATGAAAGGCCTCTTACAGAAGGTGAAATTTGAGCTGAGTCTTGAGGTAAGCCAGAGAAACCAGTAGGTAATGGTAAAAAAAAAAGAGAACATTCCAGGCTTGATAAGGCCCAGAGTCAGAAGGTGGAATGTTGTGTGCAAAGAACTTTTAAAATGTTTATGGCAACTCTCTTTGTGATGGCAAAGAACCGGAAATTGCAGGGATGCCCATCAATTAGGGAATGGCTTAACTAGTTGTGGTATATGATTGTGATGGAATATTACTGTGCTATAAGAAATGATGAGCTCGATGATTTTGGAACAACATGGAAAGACTTGCATGAAATAATGAAGAGTGAAATGAGCAGAACCAAGAGAACATTGTATATGGTAACGGCAGCGCTGTTTTAAGATTGACTTTGAGCAAATAAATTATTTTGATTATTATAAATACCCAAATTAACTATAAGGGACATATGAAGAGAGATACTATCTGCATCCAGAGAAAGAACTGATAAATAAAAGTATGTATAGGACAATTTGACATATGTATGTATGTATGTATGTATGTATGTATATGTATGTATGTATGTATGTGTATGTATATATACATATATAAATACATACACAAACATACTTGTGTCTAATGGCAGCCCTCTCTGGGCGGGGGGAAGGGAGAGAGAGGAAAAAGGGGAAAAAAAGAAATTTACATGAAAATTTTGTTGTATATTTGAAAGGAATAGGGAGCTGTGCTTAGCAGATTTGCCGTTTCATGTGCAATCATCTTTTTTTATTATGTTATGTTATGGAAATGCTTGTTTTATTCCATAAATTTAAAAAAATTCATATATAAAAAAAAGCTAACATGGTTGATTGTAGCATATGTGGAGGTATTATTATCTATGCCTTGTTTCAGAGAGGATCAATGACATCAAGAGGCGGTGTCTTGACTTCAGCATGAATTGTATTTAAGTGAAGTAGAGTTGTACAAAGTCATCATCAGCCTCATTCTCTCTTCTGGAGTAATTGAAGTCCAATGGCAGGACCAAAGTCAGGATGACTGATGATGGCCTGGGATGAAGTGGTTGACATTGGTGTCTTCTGTATTTGACCAAGCTCTAAGTACTCCACAGTGCTTGCTTCAGCTGTTTTCATGGATGTTGGAACAAATAATTCTCTTCTACCCATTCTGTCAGGGGAAATTTTCACGTGCTTGGGGTATACATATCACTGATGGTTACCCACAACCTGGTTTAGCCCATTTGCCAAAATGGTTTTACTGGGGTGTGGATGCAGTGCATGCTACAACTTCTTGGAGCCACAGGTGAGAATTGGGTGAAGGTAAACACCAAAGGTGGATGAGCAGCCCCATAAAAGGGATCTCTCACACCAGAGATGCTCATCTTCCTTAAATACCCCATACACTCCTGTGGAGGTATATAAAGTATAAGAAGACTTGAAGGGACAGGTTGTAAAGGGCTTTAAATCTCAAACAGATTTTTATATTTGGTCTTGAAGTAAAACCACTAAAGGTAATTGAATAGGTAGTTGAGGGGGACCAGTCAGACCTTCAGTTTAGGAAGATCAATTTGACAGCTGAAAGGAAAATTGACCAGAGTGGGAAGAGATTTGAAACAAGGAAATCAATCAGATGGGGAGTTACTTGTCTATCAGTGGTAGCTGATCAGTAGTTGGTCATGGTCATACTGGGAATAGTGGGCTCCTTCTCTAAAAAGGATACTACAAAACATTTTTTAAAGAAAGATAAAGTATAGGAGAGGAATTAATTGTTCATGGTTAGGTTGTACCAATATAATGAAAGTGACAACTAAATTAACTTATATATTCAGTGCCATACCTATCCAACTACCAAATAGATTTAGACAAATTAATACTGAAATTCAACTGGAGACACAAGAGGTCAAGAATCTCAAGATAAATTGTGAAAAAAAATGAGATTTGCCAAATCTGACACCAATTTGATACTGGTTAAAAATGCTTTTAAAAATCATTTAAACAACAAAACCCAGAAGCAATTAAACATAGTAGCACTGTGTTCATTAAATCTAAGGACACCAACTACTAGGATAAAGACTCTCTGTTTGACAAATACTGCTAGGAAAGCTAGAAAGCACTCTGGCACAAATGAGATTTAGATGTGGGAGGGTGTTGATGGAATCAAAGAGAGGGAAGTCAAAGAGAAGGAGGAAACTGGAAGACTTCTGTCCCAAACCAGCAGTCATCTGTCCCTAGCATCTTGATCTTCTTGGCAACACCTAGAAAAAGCTTGTACAAGAAAGTGATGTTCCTTTACCTTAGATCAGGCCTGCACAACCTGTGGTCTACAGGCACGCCAAATGATTTATGGCAGCCCACAAAAAATGTGAAGGATGTTTTCCTCTACATTTTTCTCAGGCTGCCCAAAATCCTTTGGTGGGCCACAGATTGTGCAGGCCTGCTTTAGATGGATCATGCACACCCTCATGACTTTTTTCTTTTCCTCCAGTTCCTACCAGAATGCGGAGAAAGTTTGATTGAGTTGTACCTATAAAAGTGTTTTGATGTCTGTGAGTGCCATTTAAATAGAAATTATCCTAGATGATCAATGCCTAAAAATTAATCCGTGAATGACTAATCTAGAATGATGCAGTGTAGGAAACGCTGATAAGATAATACTGGAAATGAATGATAGAAGAGAAGGAAACAATAGGATGAAACACCAAAATGGAATCCAAAATGGAATCATTTGTTCTCCCAAAAATTGAAAAAATAAATCAGAATGGAAATCCTTGTCTTCCTTTCTCTTTCCCTTTCTTTCTTTTCCCCCTTGCTCAGTGAGATTTGTTTAAACATGTTTTTTTTGTGCTTTTTATCTTGAGAGGAATTTTGCTATTAGTTCTACCCATCTCACATGACTGGTCTTCCTCTCTTAGACCAAACATCTCTTCTGTACATTTGCCTTTTCTGGTCAGACACCCCCAAACATAATGACAATGAGCTTCCAGAAGAATATACCACTCCTACTCCTCCTAGCCAAGGAACACAAGATTCACTCCAGCATTTCCAGTAACTTATGTCTGATTTTAAGTATATATCCCTTACAGAGGATTTAATTTACAAAAAACAATTATCTACGCATTGCCTAAAGTGAGATACATATTTGGTGTTAGGAAGACCAGCTAACTATATAAAAATAATTTTATTGCAAACTAAAAATTGAGACAACCTGTTATTCTACTGAGAATTTATTTAAGGAAGAGTAGGCAGAAAATATTGGATAGAACGACATTTCTGTCCAGTGCAATGTGGGGTTGGGTTTGGGGTTTGGGAGTGGATTATATATTACCTCCTGTGTAATCTTGTAAATAAAGAAAAATCCATCCTAACATTCTAGTTGCCTCTCCCTTGGACCTGATCCTTAGGACATTTGTTAAGAGTACCTACAGTACAGGCAAAGGAAATAAAAGTTGTTCGATGCATTCAGTGTCAACAGCTCTTATAAAAGCTTTGCCAAAGGAAAATTTATCATTGACTAAAGTGAGGGGTTTTTTTTTTGGCTTATCTGTGGATTTCCGTTTTTCTCTAGTAAAGTGTGTGCTTTCCATGTAAGATATGTATGTCCACATGGGCTATCTAAACACACAGACATGCAGTTTGAGGGTGAGCATAGATAGATAGCTCTAGAACCTTGTCTATTCCTCTCCAAAGGAAATTGAAATTCCTGCCTTCAGAGGAGAAGAAAGGCTTCAAGGTTGGTGCTCTACTTTCTAATCTCTGAGAGGAGGATACCAGACTGGACTTATATCTATCATTCCCCCCTCATCTCCCAAATATTGCTGGATGCTCTCACTTAAAAGGAGGAGATTATACCCACTGACTTGGCCTCTTCTCACTAACTGCTGGTGAATATCTGTAAACCTATTCACCCAAGCAAAGAGCAAACAGAAATTGAAGACATTTTATGGATTGGAATATGCCAGAAAATATACAAGAGTGAATGAGCTCTTTAAAAGGTAGTGATTTCAACTTAGCTCAAACCAAATGAAAGAAATCCCAATCTTATGCAAAGGAAAAGTACCTGAAGTTTTTAGGAAGGCAAATTGGAAAGCAGGGACATATGAAGGAGCCAACTTCCTGTACATTTCTGTAACTTGTCCTAAAGATTGTCTGAAACTATGCATGTCCTTATTTGAAGAAAGAATACCTCTCCTCCCCAAAGTTCTCATAGTGCTACCTTTCCAGGTTGCTGTTTTCTTTAAATATTTGAATGGGAATCAGACTTATTCTTATTGTCTCCAGAGATGAGAACTAGAAGTAATATTGGAAAGCCAATCTATGTTTGATATAAGAAAGATCTTCCTAACAATTAGATTTGGCCAAAGATGGAATGCAACAGGTTCAGGTAGAGTGGGCTCCGCATTAGTTGAGGTCTTCAAGTGGGATAATTTAGAAGACATTCATGTTTCAGACAAGAGTTGGAATCCATTTTTTTAGAACCTTTCCAATTTGAAGAATCAAAGAGATTTCATCCATCCCCTCACAGATTTTTCAGCTTCCCTTTATGTGCTCTCTTCCCCTCTTAGAATGTAAGTTCCTTGAGGGCAGGCACCATCTTTCTTTCTGTCTGTATTTGTAATATCAGCATTTTGCACAGTTCCTGGCTTGTTGACTTACAATAATCATATGATTTAGATGAACCTGATAATTCTGCTAGTTTCTTCTTTTTTTTGGTGAGGCAATTGGTGTTAAGTAACTTGCCCAGAGTCACACAGCTAGTAAGTGTTATGTGTCTGAGGTCAAATTTGAACTCAGGTCCTCCTGACTCCAAGGCTGGAGCTCTATCCACTGCACCACCTAGCTGCCCTTGCTAGTTCCTTCTTAACCACAAATATGCCCCAAATATGTACTGTTGGTGTGGAGACTCCCTGATAGCTAGGTAAAAGAAAGAATGAGAATGTGCTATGGTAAAATGTACACTGGACTTGGATTTTGGAGACTTGGGTTTGAATCATAGCACTCCTACTTACCACATATGAAACTCTGGAAAAGTTTTACCTTTCTTGAACT